GTTGAGATATACAATGCTATACATTTGTACTAATACGTATGGATCTTGTAATCAATTCTTCTGAAATATTTGAATCCTTAATGGGAAAAATTTCAACTATAAAATTTTAGATCTCGTCGAGCACTACAACTTTCATATATGACATTTCTCCATCCAAGGTCATTTGAAAAAATAAAAAAATTGAAATGAAATATCTAAGACTCAATTTATATATTTGGAACCCTAAATGATCTCAAACAAAAATTTTATTAACTACAAAGTTTAAATCTTGTCGAGCTCTATAATTTTGATATAAATTTTGTCGTCATCTGACTTCATTTGAAAAAGATATGAATTTATTTATGCTGCAGCTATTTTTAAGAACGATTGACTTAGTCAGCTCCCCTTGAAAATCGATTTTCAGAGGCAATTAACTTAATAAAACCGTCTCTAAAAATTACTTATTTTTAGAGACGGTTGACATAAGCAACCGTCCTTGAAGATAGCATTTTCAGAGTCGATTCTCTTAACGAAACCGTCCCTAAAAATAAACACATTTTTAGAGACGGATTTCTTAATAGAACCGCCCCTGATCTTCAGTGACGGTTATGGAGCTAGAGTGCTCCCCGGCGACGTTAGATGCGGCGTGCTAGTTTAACCGCCTCTGATAAAAAGAGAGATGTTCCTAGAAATCTTTTGTATACTAGTAGTAATTGACGACATCTATCGGGTATATATATACCAAGTTTCAAATGTATTAAACTTGAATGAAATTTCACCGTTTCAGCAAACATTCGTGCCATTTTCACCACCATTCAAAAACATACCCCACGCATGCATGACGTATGATCACAAAATGGAGATCCTCTGATTCTCTAGCTTTCTATCTTCACAGCTACTTGGTGGCTAACACTCTGCTTACACTGCTGCCTACTACCTTTATTTTAACCTATCGCACCCATACATAATACAATATATGAATTAAAAAAATTGGATCCATATTCAAAGTTTATATTCCTTATTAGGAGTTTCCAACATATTGCAAGAGAGAAATCAAATGTCACTTAAATCCATTTTATATGACGTTTCTTTGACCAAAATATGTTCATCCTTTGCGAAAGGGATGTTGCCGTGAATATAGAAATAGATATATTTGTTTTCCTTTTTATTTTCTTTTGTACATATTCGGATACTCCTATCGAAATGAAAGTACCTGAAAAGCGTCAAGTATACCTTGTCCGCCAGCTCGGGGCCCACCCCCTCCCTACCTACACGTACGGACGGCACCGAGTGAGAGGGCTCGTAGAAGTAGAACAGTACTTAAAGAGAGCTAAAAGCTAAAATGAAGTTCAGTGACTAGTACCTTCTACAGTTCGTTGCCCCTACACGTTCTTTTTAATTTCCAACACCACTTCCACCAGGCCTTTTTTTTGGTTACCTCACTAGACCATAAGCAATAGAAGAAACTTGCACGCCATAACAAAAATGCTAAAAGAGGCTTTATTTTGTCTTAATTAACCACTCCTACCATTCGCCATACACCATACTACAAACTAAACAAACTTGTTATTATCTCCACTTATTTATTATATATACATATACCTCGTTTTAAAAGAACGATAATGTTTGTATTAGGGCGTTATATATATATACATATACGTGTACCTCATTTTAAAAGAACGGTAATGCTTGTATTAGGGCGTCCGTCGGACGGCCCCCCTAGCAGGCCGGGAGGCTGAAAGGTTATAATGGCTAGAGGGGGTAAATAGTCTATTAAAAATTTATACAACAACACTAAGACAAGTGATTAATCAATAAGATGACGAAGCGAATTTTGCGCTAGCACTACACTTGGGGTTGCAAGCCACCTACACAATTCTAATTTCTATGATCTCTAGTATGTCATACAAGAGCTATGTCGCTAAATTACACCTAGGTGAACAAAGCTAGCTAGATAACTACAACGAAAGAGCTACACAAGTTACAAAGCACTACACAAAGTGAATACAAAATAATGAGGGAGAAGGGTAGAAGTGATATACCGCCATGGCAAGTGATTGATCAATGATGATCAATGAATACCGAGGAGACAATTAAGACACAATGATTTTTGCTCCGAGGTTCACTTGCTTACCGACAAGTTAGTCCCCGTTGTGGCGATTCACTCACTTGGAGGTTCACGCGCTAATATGCATCACACGCCTAACCCGCAACCGGATGCCGCACAACCAACACAAGATGAGGATCCACAAGCCATGCGCAATCCACTACAGTTGCCTTTGCCGCTCCGCCGGAGACAATCACCTTTCTCCGCTCGACGATCCACCAATCACCGGGCCATTTAGGTGTTGGCAAACACCAAGAGTAACAAGAACTCCACCAGCACAAAACGTCCAACTAGTGCTATAAGATGCTAGAACACTAAGCAATGCACTAGAGGATCTCCAATCTCACTCAAGATGATGGAATCAAGTGTGCAAGTGAGTGGAGTGGTGTGCTCAGCTCTCAAAGAGTGTATGCAGCTGTTAGAAGTGCCAAGAGAGTGGCCAAGTAGGGGCGGTGCACACAAGTTGCTCCGGTGGCCGCCTCATTCTTCCTCTTCTTTGTCGGGTCCAGGTGGGCACCGCCCTAGGGGTGGCGGTGCCACCGGACAGGGTGGCGTTGCCCCACCAGTGCACCCCACTCTCAGCCTGGCAACACCTCCTTTTTTTCACCACCTTTGCAAATGTGCTAACACTCCAAGTATTTCACCATCACGTGCAAGTGTGTTAGCATTTTCACAGTCAATTTTCAAAGGTTAATCACTTCTCACGGTTTGTGCACTAGGCCTAAAATGCATATGCATGTTTTCAACACTTAGTGGCACTAGATGATCGAGTTGTCCAATAAGAGCTCCCCTCTTAATAGTACGACCATCTATCCTAAATGTGATCACATTCTCTATAGTGTCTTGATCACCGAAAACAAAAATGGCCTTATTGATATCACCTTTGCCTTGAGCCCATTTTGTTTTTCTCTTTCTTCTTTTCTAAGTCCCGGAGCTTGATTATCATCACATGTCCACACCACCACCATGGACTTCATTTCATGTGGCCATCTCCATCCATGAGTGCCACCTAGCTTCTTTACTTGGGTTGGACCATCCTATCTAATCACACACTTAGATGCAAGGATTAGTCCAAATAGGTTTCATCAATTAGCTGAAACCAAACTAGGGCTTTCAAAGGCCCAGAAGACTCCCCTATCTATTCCTATCCACACACCTCCAGCCACCGTAGTTTTCTAAAAAAAGAAAAAACTCACTATAGCATCGCGAGCCTACGATTGCGCTCCGTTATCTCCATCGTGCCTCCTGTCAGCCTTCTCTCCACTACGTGCTCCCGCTCGACTTTCTCTCCATCGCGCCTCTCTCTCCACCGCGCCTCCTGTCTACCTTCTCCACCGTAGCGACCTTGCTACGGCCTTCTCCACCAGACCTGGTGTAGCCTTCTCCATCGGAGCGGTGAGCTCCGTGCCACCGAGACGTTGCTGCAGGACGACATGGCGCGCGGCTGCCCTCTCCTAGTTGCGCAACCGTTGCCTCTTCACCACCTTGTCGGAGCCACCGCCGCTGGCCTACCGCCTACAAGCGTTGCCATGCTGCTGCCTCTAGCACGCCGATGAGCCTCCATTCTTCTAAGCAGTAAAGAGATGTTGCGCTAAAAACACATGTTGCAAGTGTATATTTCAAGTGTTTTAGTGTTTCAGAGGTATGTTGCAAGTGTTTCATACGAATGTTGTAAAAGTAGATCAGGGATGTTGCATATGTTGCAAGTGTCTGTTTCTAATGTTTCATCTATGTTTTTCAGACGTATGTTGAAAGTTTGTTTATCTGGATGTTGCATATGTTTCACACATATGTTGTAAGTGTTTTATCTGGATGTTGTGTATGTTTGCAATGGGTTTCAAGCATTTTCAAGTGTTTTTCGCAAGTGTTTCAAAAGCATGTTTCAAATGTTTCATTTGTCTTCAGACGTATATTGCAACTGTTGCATCTGGATATTTGAAAAGTAGATCGGGTGTTTGCATATGTTGCAATGTCACCCGCCTGTTGCAGCTGTTAGAGGGGCGTGAGGGGTCGGACGGGGCGAAGACGCCACGCGGGGTCGGGTTGGGCACAAACGCCTCGTCGGGCTAGCGCGGGGGCTAATTGTATGCGCGGACGTCCAAACGTGCGCGCCCATCCGAACGTCCGGACGCTAGCACTGTCGTTAAAAGAAACATCGCATCGACTTTCTTATTTTTTCTACGTATGCTCCCTTCATCCCAAAATAGATGTCATTTTCACTTCCCGAGAAGTCAAACACTTTTAACTTTGACCATATATATATATAAAATATTAATATTTATAATATATAATTAGTATCATTAGATAGATCGTTGTATATACTTTCGTAATAAATTTATTTAGAGATATAAATGTTGCATGCATTTCTATAAATTTAGTTAAAGCTAAGAAAGTTAGACCTACACGCATATCATAACAACTTCTATCTAGGGACGGAGTGAGTATGTGCCTACCTATTACTGTGAAAATAGAAAATGGTTATTTCTTCTCTTTCGGGAGTATATAAGAGTATATATGAAAATGAAAATGAAATAGTGCCTGAAAAGCACCAAATAGATCTTGTTTGCCAGTACACGGCCCCACAAAAAAGCCCACGTCTGCGGGGCCCACGCTCCCGCTAACGACACGGCCCGGTGGACTGTGGCCGGACGCAGACGCTTCCGGCTGTGAAAAAACGCACGCTCCTGACTCCGATCCGAGGCTCCGGCCCCACTCTGTCAGCGACTCAGCGGGCGGCCGCACGCACGCGGCGCGCGTGACGAGGATGCCTCCTCACGCCGTCGCGCACGGGAGCCGAGACGAGCCCCTTCCCCCTCCGCCTCGTCTCGTCTCGTCACACTCCTCACTCCCCCTTCCATTCCGACGCACTTGATCGGCCCAGCGAACTGGGCTCCCTCCCGTTCCTCCTCTCCGCATGGTGCAGCTCCCCTGCGTCTCGGCGCCGCGCCCGCTGCTCGCCGTGCCCGCGGGCCGGTGGCGCGCCGGCGTGCGGGCGCGGTCTAATGCGGCGGTAGCGGGATCAGGCCGGGGGCGGGGGCGGGGGCGATTCCGCGCCGCCGCGGCGCGGCCCGTGGCCACGGCGGTGCAGGCGGAGCAGGATGACAGCGAGGAGGAGGTGATGGTGGAGGAGAGGTACGCGCTGGGCGGCGCGTGCACGGTCCTCGCGGGAATGCCCGCGCCGCTGGGGGCCACCGCGCTCCACGGCGGGGTCAACTTCGCCGTCTACTCCAGCGGCGCCTCCGCCGCGTCGCTCTGCCTCTTCACCCCGGACGACCTCAAGGCGGTGAGCTTCCCCCACTCTCTGCTGAATGCAATTTCTGCAACGCGTGCTGCGATCCTTCTGTGTCTTTTTTTCCCTTTTGAATTTGAATGAAAGAAAAAAAATCTTCTGTCTCAGTTTCATAGCTTACTACTCCGATGCCGTTCGCGAATCTGTTTGGCTTCATATCTTACTCCGATGCTGAAATGAATTGAGCTCTGTATATTGCCGGGATGATGCAGGATACGGTGACTGAGGAGGTGCCCCTTGATCCCCTGCTCAACCGGACGGGAAACGTGTGGCACGTGTTCATCCATGGGGACCAGCTGCACGACATGCTCTACGGATACAGGTTCGATGGCGTGTTTTCCCCTGAGCGCGGACAGTACTATGATGTGTCCAACGTCGTGGTGGATCCGTACGCTAAGGTGACGAGTTTATTAGCCTTTACTTCGCTCTGCCCGTGAGTTGTGATACACTCAGAAATTGATTGCTGGGTGCTTGCTCATGTTTTTAGTTTTCTTCTTCTTGTTTTCTCTAGGCAGTGGTAAGCCGAGGTCAATATGGTGTGCCTGCGCCTGGTGATAATTGTTGGCCTCAAATGGCTGGTATGATCCCCCTTCCCTATAGTACGGTAAGCCAGAACTACTCTCACACTAGTCCTGTTTTCTTTCATGCCTATTTCCTTCTCTCCCAGTTTTATTTTCCCGTGTTTGACCCAGTCATGATTAAACAATAAAAAAAGCATATATTTGGTCATTGATTGATGATTGTGAAAAGTCTGATGAACTGACTACGAGCACTAGAACTATCAAATGTAGGTTAGGATCATTGTTTGTGTTACTTAATTTCTTGTTGCAAGTTCAAATGAAGTGAAATTACATTTACTGCATCTTCTTGTTGTCTTTGTTATTTCATTTCATATGATAAGGGTTTGCATTTGCAGTTTGACTGGCAAGGCGACCTACCCCTGAGGTATCATCAGAAGGACCTTGTCATCTATGAAATGCATTTGCGTGGGTTCACAAAGCATGATTCAAGCAACACAAAACACCCAGGAACTTACATTGGTGCTGTGTCAAAGCTTGACCATCTAAAGGTACTGTTGTGAACAGACTAGTTATAAGGCTGAGAAAGTGTTCGCATGCATTTGTTTAGATTTTGCATTTCTGCCAAGTAATGCTGCTTTATATCTATTAGTTCATAGGCATAAACACATATTTTACTTTGTGCTGTATATATTGCTGAATTGATTGAGCATCTATATTACATAACTGTTTTTGCTCAGTAAACTCGTCAGCTTGGTATTGTCCATTTTAGACTTTTTGGCATGTGTTTATGACTAAACTCTTGGTTTGACCTGCATAAACTCCCTTTGCAGGAACTTGGAGTCAATTGTATAGAGTTAATGCCCTGCCATGAGTTCAATGAGCTAGAGTACTTCAGCTCCTCTTCCAAGTATGTGGACTTGGATTACAGTATACAGATGCAATCAGTTTTATAGGACTCTGGAACTGATATCTTTTTGTTTCATTCAGCACTATCATATATGACCTTTTCAGTTCTATTTTCCATGCTATTCCCTCCCCCCCCAATTTCCAGATTTGCTAGTGTGGTCTCTAATTTTTTTTGCCTTACTCTTATAGCATGATCACAACTGGCTTATACCGTGACATTGTTTCATATTGCTCATCCTTGTGCCAGGATGAACTTCTGGGGATATTCCACAATAAATTTTTTCTCACCAATGGCAAGATATTCGTCAAGTGGCATAAGAGACTCTGGACGTGGTGCCATAAATGAATTTAAAACTTTTGTAAGGGAGGCCCACAAACGGGGAATTGAGGTAACCAAGCCGATTTAAGCTAATGGCTTAATGCTAACTGAAATAACAGCTTCCTTATATCATTTTTGACATGAAGATATGTCACTGTTAGGTGATCATGGATGTTGTCTTCAATCATACGGCTGAAGGTAATGAGAAAGGGCCAATATTATCCTTTAGGGGGATAGACAATAGTACATACTACATGCTTGCACCTAAGGTGAGATACATTGTTCATCTTGCAATTGTTCTTTCCTGGTCCACAAAGTATAATTTTGTTATGTATTCTGTTTCATAGATTCACGTCTATATAACAAGCTATTTGAAGGGCATTTATTTGTGCAGGGAGAGTTTTATAATTATTCTGGTTGTGGAAATACCTTCAACTGTAATCATCCTGTAGTCCGTGAATTTATAGTGGATTGCTTGAGGTACAAATCTAATATAACTTTAATTAAATTGCTCCTAATTTCCTTCTGCCGCTTGTCATTCTATTGGATGATGCAAGTTTTGAGGGGTAGATAGCAATGCTGGTGCTTTGCTGCCTGAATATATAAGCATTTTGAATTCCTTGTATTCCAACACAACAGAGAAACAAGTTATCTTTAATTGATATTTTGCCATTGACTATGGGTGTTTAAGCTATATATTTGTGAAGACAAATTGTTTATGCACTATTAACTGAGTTTGATGTTGCAGATACTGGGTAACAGAAATACATGTTGATGGTTTTCGTTTTGACCTTGCATCTATAATGACCAGAGGATGCAGGTAAAATGTTATTCTGATTTTCTCCATATTTTGTCTTTTTATGCATTTCTTAAGCTAACCTTTCCTTTACCAGTCTATGGGATCCAGTTAATGTGTATGGAAGTCCAATGGAAGGTGACATGATTACAACAGGGACACCTCTTGTTGCCCCACCACTTGTTGACATGATTAGCAATGACCCAATTCTTGGAGATGTCAAGGTAGCTGTTATATTTTATACTTATGTTTTATCATCTGCACTCACTGAAGATTCAAACCCATTTTGTGGTTTTGGATTGTGTACACATGCTATGTAACTAATTGCAGTTACCTTCTGCTTGATGCTTTTGGGTAATATATGAACCTGATTGGCTGTTAAATATGCAGAGCAGTATATCTAATAATTGACAGCCTCAACATATTATAGTTTCTTGGTTCTTGTTCTCACTACTTCCTCCATTGCAATTATAGCTCATTGCTGAAGCATGGGATGCAGGAGGCCTCTATCAAGTAGGTCAATTTCCTCACTGGAACGTTTGGTCAGAGTGGAATGGAAAGGTAAGAACTTTATACTTTCAGTGACTTGAAAGTCTCTTTGCTACTTGGTACCTGCTGAATAACAAATGGATCCTTGTCAAATACTGAATGTAAGTTTCAACAGAGATATTTAAATAGATGAGTGCTTCTATGCTACCCTTGAAATGTTGCGGGGATCTAAAACTATTTAAAGCCTAAAGTTACTTTCTTCTAGAAGCAAATCAGTAATTTAGTCTGGTAATTGGATACAGTTTGGAATTATGGATTGAACCAGAATCTATGTTCAGGCCCAACTATCAAACAGACTCTGAGGGCTGTTTTGGGCAAGTTCCAGTTCCAGTTTTCAAGCTCCTGAAGAAGCTGGCTCCAAGCAACCTGAGCCTCGGATACTTGGATCTCATAATTCTGTTTTTTACTCTAGAGAAGCTGGCTTCAGAAAGGCCAACACTTAGGACATCAGAGCCCAACCATTTTTATGTGGGTTGAGCAGAGAAGCCCAGCTAGACAGCAAACACAAACAACTCTACATTTGTTGGACTATAATCGATGATGAAAAGAATTTTAAAAGTATAAACACAAGAATGATTTCTGAGATATACGTTTTGAACAATAGCCTCACTGACAACATTATGTAAGTGCATCTTTGGTCTTCATCAGAGCATGATGCTGATGAAGTTTTGATAATTAACGTATGATCTTTTGCAACCTTCTTCAGCTAAACCAACATCTTCCAAATTTGTTAGTTCTCTATAGTTGTTTCACCAAGTACTGACTCATTTAGTTGTTTTGTTGTTTTCTCAGTATCGCGATACCGTGCGTCAGTTCATCAAAGGCACAGATGGATTTGCTGGTGCTTTTGCTGAATGCCTATGTGGAAGTCCACAGTTATACCAGGTATGTAGCATAAGTACCCATCAATGAGCACGGTGCTACATGACCTGAACAGAAACTTTTGAAAGAACTGGGTGGTGATAGTGATACAGGTAAACAGAAATAACATAATATGACAATATAGTATATATTTCAGCCTAGAAGTTTAACACAAGTTCCACATTATGTGTAGTAGTATAACCTTTAGGATCTAATCTGCAAGTGAAGGATAACATTTCTTTTCTTTGAGTGTCTAATGGACCTTTGTAAGCCATTGAAAACTTCTACTATATTTGTATTTTCCTGGATGAGAAGAAGCCGCATGAATAAATACTATCTTCATGTATACTTGATGAAAACATTAATAATGAACTGCTGAATACTTTGCTTTGTTACTACAAATTTCCTTTAATTTTCACCCTTCTTGGAAGCACTGCATGTATTGTATGCAATTAGGTGGCTTAGTGTTTGTCTGCAGATAATAGTTTGGTATTGATAAGGGCATGCCTTTTATTATCAGGCAGGGGGGAGGAAGCCTTGGCACAGTGTCAACTTTGTATGTGCACACGATGGATTTACACTGGCTGATTTGGTCACATACAATAACAAGTACAACTTGTCAAATGGTGAGGACAACAGAGATGGGGAAAACCACAATCTTAGCTGGAATTGTGGGGAGGTAATTGGAAATTTCATGCTTTTATCTCTCGTAGCTTGTTTATGTTATTTAAATCTGTCAAATGACCTTGTGATGGTTTTCAAGTCATGAGTACCAAACTGGTTTCACCTACCACAGGCTATATAGTTGTACACGTGCATTTCCAGCTAAATTTATGTGGCAAGTATATACAGAATCATCTCTATAGTGTAGTGCAGTTTACAGTTTCGTCTGAACAATGCAGGAAGGAGAATTTGCAAGTTTGCCAGTCCGAAGATTAAGAAAGAGGCAAATGCGCAATTTCTTTGTTTGTCTTATGGTTTCTCAGGTAAGAATTAGTGTCTGATCTTTTAAGTTTTTTATGGGCTGTGCTTTCAGGTCCCTGTTTGTTCAGGGTAGAACCCAAGGTTGCATTTGCAGTCAGTGGTATGCTGGAATAGTGGAATATGTATCATTGGTTCAGTCCTTGAGTTTAGTCACTTGATGAGGGTTACTACTTACTAGGTTGTGTGAGGATCTGTGTTTTCTAAAGATTATGCCATGCTGCATTGAATATCCAACTACCTGTCTTTGTACATGGGAAACATAGTTATTTAAACATAAATTACCGTAAACATCATTTATCTGACAAGGTTTCAGTTTTTCCCTGCATCCTAATACAGGGGTGAGGTTAAAGTGGAGCTGAAGTCACTTTATTTTTTGTACTGATTTTGTACTACCTTGTCAATTGTTTTCATTTTCTAAATTTTAGGGAGTTCCAATGTTCTACATGGGCGATGAATATGGTCACACAAAGGGAGGAAACAACAATACATATTGCCATGACCATTATGTCAGTGCAACGCCATCATATATTAACATATTATTCTAATCAATTTCCTTGACATTCTTGTAATCTTCTAGCTTTTTATTTTTGTTGTGTAGGTCAATTATTTCCATTGGGATAAAAAGGAAGAACAATCCTCTGATTTGTACAGATTCTGTCGCCTCATGACCAAATTCCGCAAGTAAATAATCTTCCCACAAAATAGTTTCTGTGCAAAACCAATGATGGTTCCTCTGTTCACTAAATGGCGAGATTCTGTACAGTTTACATTGCTTGCCTATTGGTGTTCTTTTGATGTGCAATACAGGGAATGTGAATCTCTTGGTCTTGAGGACTTCCCGACTTCAGAACGGTTGCAATGGCACGGTCATCAGCCTGGGAAGCCTAACTGGTCGGAGGCAAGCCGATTCGTTGCCTTTACCATGGTACAGACATAACACTTACCACCATCATCACCAGGCATTACAAAAACCATTTTTCTACCATTAAATGCATCAAAGGGAAAAAGTACTAATGATTTCTTATGTTTCTGTTGCTGCAGAAGGATGAAACCAAAGGCGAGATCTATGTGGCCTTCAACACCAGCCACCTGCCAGTGGTCGTTGGGCTTCCAGAGCGCCCTGGGTTCCGATGGGAGCCGGTGGTGGACACGGGCAAGGAAGCACCGTATGACTTCCTCACTGACGGTATGCCGGATCGTGCTGTCACCATCTACCAATTCTCTCATTTCCTCAACTCCAACCTCTACCCTATGCTCAGCTACTCTTCTATCATCCTTGTATTGCGCCCTGATGTCTAAAAGAAGAGAATATATTAAAGAGTATACATGAGTAGTAGTTCTCTAGGCTGTAGCATGCAATGGAAAATGTTGGGTTGCTCTGTTGTTGGTAGTTATATGTGTATGTATAGCTAAAGCGGGTGGATCTTAGTCTTAGATATGTGGGTCGGACTCGAGCTGGGAAAGCATTGCTCGTTAGGCTGGTTCTGAATGATTGGAATCAACTGGGCTTGTTCTTAGCTAATTAATTACCAATGTGTTCTAAAATTCGTACAATTTTCGGAGGAGGATCGGAGCCGTCTTAGGTTATTGACATAGTAGCATGTAGCATAGCATGGTGGACACGATTAAGCATTAAGCAAAGTGGAACTCGATCTTCCACGGGTCCTTCCGGCACTAATCCGAGTCTAGACGAATGGAACGAAGTATTCAGACTCTGTACAGGGATATAAATAACCCCACCAAAAAAGACAATGGTCATAGCCATTACGGTCCGGCAGTACATAAGTAGTGACTCTGCCTCAATCTTTTCCAAGGTTGGCCAAACCGCCCACAAACTGTTAGAGTGAGCTGAGGTACTAACCCTCCTGGCTACCTCGCATTACACCTCACGCTGAATCCACGGGACATTTAGTCGTAACAAAGTAATAGGCTTAGAGCATCTTCAAGAGTCTTTCTAAATCTCACTCTCTAAATCATCATTTGAAGAGTCATTTGCATAAAAATCGCTTTCTATATCTTTTTATTCTCCAACTGCTTTTCTATATCTAATGTGCACTCTAGAGAGGCATTATCGTCTTCCATTTTTGGCTAGCGAAAAATCCGGAATAGAAGATGACTATATTTGGATGACCATTTAAAAAAGTTGTTGGATGATAGTTTTTCACCAAAATCTCTATTCCTAGCATCTAGGAAGGATATAAAGAGTCTCTTAGAGATGCTCTTACCCCATACATGTCAAGTGGTCTATACCAATTGCGTTTTAATCTTACTACCACGAATGCACGGTTCTTAATCAGTTCAACGAGCTCACCATCCAAGACCTCTTGTCTTGCCATGGTCCAACCCCTTGCCGATCCTTGAGTCAGGTTTTCATCATGTGGTCAAGAACATTGCCCCCAATTTGTGTTGTTTCATGTGCAAATATTTCCTAATGCACGAGAAGTGAGGAACCCATCACTATCTCGACTTGTACCGTTACTAAGCATAATAAAGCATGAATTACTGCTGCTAAGCATAATAAAGCATGAATTAGGTGCTAAGCAATAATAAACATTCCTAGTACAAGGTAGATGGAACAATCACAATGTACTAAGCTCAAGTATGTAAAATGACTTTTTAGTCTTATTGTAACATAAATGCAATAGATCCATCAGTTTATACTGAAAACGCTCCCCCCCGCGTCGTCTCCCCGAGGTAACTCGAGGGGCGACACCCACCACCGCCGCACTTGGCCCCCCACCAGCGAGCTCCCTCGGCCACCGCCGCTGCTCGCCGAGGGGACCGCGTGCAACCTCCCCTCGTCTCAACAAGGCAGCCTCTGCACCCTTGCATCTCCTCCCTTCCCCACTCTCTCCCATCTTCCCTAGACCTCCCTTTTCCATGGCAGACGAGGGGACCGCGTGGTGGCGTACCTGTGCCCTACGAGGCCAGATCCGGTGCCTGCATCCATGGATCTGCTCCATTCGAGGCGGGCCTTCCTGCTAGCGCCGGTGGTGACGGCGATGGCGTGCCGGAGCTTGGAAGGCCGGTGGCGAGCACGAAGCTTCGGATTCGGGTTCTCTGGGCCCGGATCCAGCGGCGGCGTGGCGCACTTGGCTGGACGCGTGCTGCGCGGTGCCGTGCTCCTGGCGGCGGGCATGTAGTTCAAGCTGCACGGAGCTTCGAAGGACGGCGGGATACGGTGCCCCTTGCCCCGGATCTGGCACGTGGGGGTCGAGCAGGAGCGGTGGCCGACGGCCATACTGGCGACCAGCAGGCAGCTAGTGGGCGCGCTGGGGCACGTATCCAGTGGCCTCTGCCCCGGATTTGGCGCATGGCGGCCGGCGCGCGGCGCGATAGCGACTGGGCGACGGAGGCCCCCGAGGGCGCTCGCCTGTGCAGCACCGGGGCGGCTAATCCGGCTCCCTATCCTTGCGTGCACAGTAACGCCGGTGCGGCGCACGGAGGGCGGTCCCGCGCATGGTTGGCACTGTCTGCGGGCGGACGGGCGGTTCGATCTGTGGCTCCAAGGCACGCTGCTCCACCACGGCGTGTTCCCAGCGATAGAGGCTGGGCTCAGGGACCCCGTGTGGGTGACACCTGTGCGGCCGTGGGGTAGCGCTGGTGCGCTTCAACAAGGACGTGTTCATTGGGCCCATTCTCATGGGCCCCGTCGTCGGCGCGATGGTGGTGTCCGTGTCCTCGCCGAGCTCTGGCGGCGCCGCTGCGCGCCCTCAACGGCCTGGTGGGCGCCATGCAGAGATTGCTGATGGATGAGCTCCACGCGCTATGCGCGCCCGCGCTCGGATCCACGCTCCACCCCGAGTACTGCGGCCGCAAGGAGGTGGCGGATGCGCTCCTCGCCGAGGCCTCGTCAAGCACCTCCTCTGCTTGAGACGACGAGCTATAGTTCACGGGTTTGGGGAGCTTAGGCGAAAACCATGCACGACCCTGTCTGTGCGACCGACAGCGGCGCCCTCCAGCGCCATTTACCTCCTTGGAGGCGTCGATGTGTAGGCTTCCCAACCCATGACTGTAGTACTGTCCCTCTCCTCCTGGTGAAAACCTAGCTCTAGTTATATGGAGCCGGTGGTGGTGGCGTCAACGACGTCGTGTCCCTCTTGAGGGCGCCACTATGAAGGGGCATATTCCTGCTCCCGCTATCACGATGGCCAATCCACGCTTGCTGCATCTGCTAAGCAGGTTCCAGGACGCAAGCCCTTATGGGCTTGGTGCTCTATTCATGGATGGTGGCGTCCGTGGACGTCACTCTCCTTCTTGAAGGCATCGAAGCAAGCATACCCGCTTCCGTGCGCCCCCCATGCACCCTTGTGCTCTCCTCGGTTGCTCTCCTCCCCATCTTGTTGTTGGTATGGCTACCCTCCTATCCCTTGGCCTATGCAAACACTACTTGTTGTCTGGTGCTCGCCACCAACAACTTGCTCTGTCGTTCTCTACACCACTTAAGTGCTTCGCCTCATCATATGCTGGGTGGCGGGGACCTTAATCTCCTCTCTAGATCTCCTCGTTCTCCTCCTGGCGACCCTTCCCCTTTGAGGCTTCCTTCCCCCAAATGGCATTGGTGGACGTTGGTTGGAGCTCAGATGCGCTCTTAGGCGATGCTACTCACGGCTGCCGCCTGTTGGCTTCAACTCAATGCCTTGCAGCTTCTTGGTTGCCGTCTGTCGGATCCCACTCAATACCTTATAGCTGCATGTGATGTGGAGCTCTTTGGAGCATGTCTTTGGTGGTGGCATAGGTTAAGAAGTTGTGCTTGCAGTCGCTTCGGCCGGTAAGCGGACTTGGTAGCTAAATCATGTTGTGTTTATGGTTGTTCTGTTAAGTGTTGTATTTCCTTTCTCCTTGGTCCTTATCATATATCTCTCGGAACTTTGTATTGGGATTGCGCCATGCCCTTCTATCTCCCGGCTAGTCCGGCATCTGTGGAATGAAATTCAGGTGGGAGGCCTTTCTCCCTCCGGTGTTGACTAAAAAAACATAAATGCAATATAACATAGTCCAGTTAAATGCTTATGTTCGTGCAGCCAGCGGAACGAACAATGTCATGACTGGAGGTGGATGGTGCTTGATAGCTTGTGCCTATGCCTACTAGGCTGGGCTCTCAAGGTGTGCGGCGTGTAGAAAAACAGGACCGGAATCATCTTTTTTTTCTAGAGAAAACGATAATGATGTCATGGTATTTTACCGCAAAATTATGGTAACACGCTTATACTTATACGGGCGGAAATGGTAAATATCTATACAGTTATTTTTTCATGTTTTTCAGCTTTACGGATACTGGTTATCGTTACCGCTTTTTGTTTGGGACGTGCTGGCGCTCGGTCGCCCGACCTGGGACACGATTCAACGGCTGTTTCCCGTGCGTGTCTGCACAAACTGCCCCCCTCTGCTAACTCGCTTTGCCCGCATGCGCATTGTGCCGTGCCCCGACCACCGGCCCCAGCCTGCCGTGCGCCACGTCCACCGGTGTGGAAAAACCGCCCGAAATAACCCATTTACGGAGGCGCTCGTCTTCCACTGACATTAAGCATCCCGAGAGCGAGCTACATCGGGCGGGTTTCGTCGGGCACACCCAAGGGAGAGCACGAAAGTTCCACATTTTCCCCCAATGATCCAATAATGAGAATGAGTTACAATACTTAATCCATTTCACACATCCAGAGTTCTTAGAAATTCATTATTATATTACCAAATTTAGAGTGCGGAATATTAAACAGTGGAATGATAATAAACATCTATCGATAATGAGCAAGCATCCATCTGTGTCCACTAGAAGAATCCTTCACACAACGGGTACTCCTCAAGTCGAACCTACAACAGGGGTAAATAAACCCGGAGTACACAATGTACTCGCAAGACTTATCCGACTACTTGGAATATTTTCTCGACTCAAGGGATATACAAAGCTTTATGGTTTGCTGGATTTTTTTTGCAGAAAACAATTCTAGTAGTGAATCCTTACTTATGTTATTATTATCAGTCATGATTAATTTATTATCTAGCCATTTTAGGTAAGCACATGTTCTACTTTCGAGCAAGGGTTGAGCAATCAGTTCCATTTCATCACCTTTCATCTTTTAGTTCTTACTACGGTGCTAGACCGTAGACAAGCCGTAACAGAACGTCGGCGATTCGCGAATCAATGCCCCTAGCTGGGTACCCCAAAAACACATGCCCCGCTTGTACCCCAGGCACAAGCAGGACTAACCCATCACTCTCCATCATAGGGTCCAGGTCCCCGTCCAAATTTGGACTCCAAGCCCCTACTCCTAAGTCCCGGACTTAGTGCGGTGCAAGGA